ACCCAGCCTCGCTCTGGACTCCTGTTTGTCTGAATACCCTCCTATTCCAATTTTTAGACATTCACTGGTCTTCAAAGTATTTATGAATGAATGTTCTACCTGGAGTCAGGGCACCCAGGGGACCGCAGACTCTCCCTTAGTCATTTGTGGTTGCTGAAGTGACCACGCTGGTCTGCTCTCCTCAGTTCTACCCCCTGATGGCAGAAGAACCAGCAGACTGCCTCAGATCCAAGTTCACCAGACCAGTAGGAAAAATTAGGGACAGGGCTTCCCTCTGCTGATTTATAGACATGAGTTCTCGACTTTGTTCCTATAAGAGCCGGCATCGTTCTGAACAAAACTGAATTTCTTGGCTTCATTACGTGAAAACCGTACAAAGCGCCATAATAAGGAGTGAGAAAAGCATGATTTATGACCCTCCACATATAGGAGATTTAATTCTGCCTTTTGCTCAAAGGCCTATTCATTGTGTGAGCAAAGTCAATACCAATAATGAAAGGCAGACCGAAGGGCTGAATCAATTGAGTAAAATGCAATAGAAAGACTAGAAGACTGAGTAAATTTGGAAAGGCTAGTGCCTACAAGATTAGTATTTGGACAACAGGTAATTACAAAAATCAATAGTTGTATATGAAAACATGACGGGCAGCCATCCGTCACAAAGAGAGAACCATCGCTAATGATTTGGGCCTTGAGTTGGACTGACAGAACAAAAGAGGTCTGTGCGAAATCCCTCTCAGCGGTTGTGCGTCTGTGTGTGCGTGTGTGCACACGCCTGCACCCCTGTACGTGTTTCCTATGCAACTGAAGACAGAGAAAGGAAGACCGCAGATGGCTAACTTGGTATTTTATTTAAGCCTTTTGCACCTTCTCGGTTCCTCTGGCTTTTACTAACTTCGATCTTGTTTTGTCAACTCGGTACCAAGTTGTGCCCACATCGTCCTTTCCTTCCTTCTTGTCTCAGCCTTCTGGGTATCAAGGGAACATTGCCACGAGTCCCCGGCAGTGTCACTGGCCCCCGTCAGCTGAACCAGTGCTCTCAGTGCCAGTTCTTGGAAGAATCTCCATCTCCAAGCAGTGAGAGGTGATACGAACAATCTTGAAGGCACCCACAGCAAAATGAAAAACACTACGCACATGCGCACACTGACGTATACATACACGCGTCAGATAACACAGTCACTTAAGTGTCTTAACTGTGTTCTTGGCCAAAAAAAGAAAAGGGATGGATGAATACGTCACTGCTAAGCAGGTGCACACATGAAGTCATCTGGGCCTTTGAAGACGCTACAATGGCCTGTCAGCATCTCTCTTTTAAATTAAAATAGAAAAGCGACTCAAGAGGACAGCAGCTTGTTCAAGGAGACAAAGCTAGTGAGCAGGGATGTGGCATCGGAAGATATATCTGTCTGACACTGAGGTGTGTGCTGGTCACCTCTTGTCTACCCCAGGGTGGGGGGATTCTGATGTGGCCACACACAGGAGTCGAGCCAGCTGTCGGGCGTCAGTGCTATTGAGAGGCTTCAAGAGCAGTCCAGGGATCATGGAGCAGAGCCAATGAGGCCAGCGACTTTGAACTTCCCCGGGCCATGATGTCCGTACTGCCCGACCGCGTGACTCCCGGTAATGAAGAGCGTGACTCTGTTTTTGATGTTTGGCTTCTGACAGCTCTTATGCCTCACCCACGCTGTCCCTCTACTCACATCTGAGCAAGCTGATAAGAAAAGTCAGGTGTTTCATCTTGTGGCATCAGCAGGGAGTTCAAACCCCGAAAGTTCCTGTCTGCATATAGGAACCTCATCCAGGTCCCAACCCATAACCACCATGAAATCATGAGCCAGCCTCCCTTCCTGCTGTCACCAGCCGTGCTTGGGAACCACCCCGCTCACCTCACAAGGCTCCTTATGTGAGTGACCCGCCCTTCCAGACACCCTTGGTGTGCGTGTGGTGTCCTCAGTCTTGACATCAGAACCAAATTTAGGGTCGGAGTGCGCCCCACTTTTGTGGGGGTAACACAACCCTCCTGAACCAACGTTATGCCGACAATGGAGTAAATGCTTTCACAACCCTTAGTGAAACCTTCGAAGTTGTAATCTTCAGAAACTGATTGTATGTGATCCCCTAGGCAGAAAGCTGTCCTTCATTTCGAATGGCCCTTTTGTTTTCTATTAAAAACAGAGAATGATTAAGACGATTTCCATTTGGGGAAGGAGCCACATAAGTTTAATTTATTTTTAGGTCATTTTATCTATCTATTTATCTATCTATCTATCTATCTGATTTCCATTTGGGGAAGGAGCCACATAAGTTTATTTTTAGGTCATTTTATCTATCTATCTATCTATCTATCTATCTATCTATCTTTCTATCTTTCTATCTATCTATCATTTTTACTTTTCAATTACAGCTGACATTCAATATTATTTTATATTCGCTTCAGGTGTGCAGCATGGTGGTCAGACATTTATGTAATTTACAGAGTGGTCCCCCCGATTAGTCCAGTCCGCACTCACCTGGCACTATACGTAGGTATCACAATATTACCGACGATCTTCCCTATTGCGCATTCCACATCCCCGTGACTATTTTGTCACCACCCATCTGTACTTCTCAATCCCTTTACCTTTTTAGGTCATTTTAATAGGTGGTATTTTTTGACATTTTAAATTTACCTTAGATAGACGACATTTCTCTTTACCTCAGCGTTGGTACTACTGACATTTGAGGCCGAATAATTCTTGGTGGTAGGGGCTGTCTCATGCATTAGATGGTGTTTTGCAGTGTTCCTGACCACTCCCCAGTAGTCGCTAATGGCACCCCCACAACCCCTTCCAATTGTGACATTAAAACATGTCTCCAGATGTTGTCAATTGTCCCTTGGGGGCAAAATCACACCTGGTTGTGAACCACTGCTCTATATCTATTCCACAAAGAAGTATGACTTTTCTGAGAACGAGAATGGATCGAGTACTCTCAGTCCCAGTGGAAGAGACTGGAAAAAAAGATAAAAAGCTGCTAGGCTATGTATATCCTAATGCAAGCAAGCAAAATCTATACTAAATCGCAATTACAGCTTCGAATCTCTCTTTCCACTCTTAAACTAATTTAGACTCATCCTCAAAATTGCTCACATGCTATGGAGATTACTTTATAGCTTCTAACATCTTTTTATATAAAAAAAAAAAAGGTTATTCAGCTGCTTATATGCAAATGCTTGTCTAAAAAATCAGAGTTAGCCATGCTGCCCACCGTGATCTTCCAGAAATATCACACACCACAATGTAGGCACTTTAAAGTATTCCAAAAACATAAAGCGTGTTAACAATTGTTTACGTGATGGACACAGACAATGATGTCTTTAATGGATCACCTATATCTGTATTACATGCACTGGTACTTTTGTGAATGGCCCAAAATTCTTGGTTATAATACAGAGCTGGTTTATTGCCTAAAGTTCCCATCCTATTGACGTGTTTTCCAGGGAGACCGGATGACACCATAGATGGAGGAGTGTAGTGATCTCATTGGAAATTCAAGAGACAACGTAAGATGCTTTGTCTTTCTTTAGAATTGAGGGGCAGAGACTCCAGAGATGGAATTGGGAAGGGAAAGGCAAACCACACTCAAGGACAGCAGTGGCCAACCTTGCCTCTGTTAACACAGGCACATATCTTTGATCCTCTATTTGGCAATATTCAAATATTAAAAAAAAAAAAGAGTGTATGACAGGTATGCCAATTAATTTGATGGAAAACACCATGTTTCGGTCTTAAATATGGATCTAAGTTTTGAAACTTTAGTTTTCTCATTTCTTTCTCTTTGCGACATTACTGTAAAAGCCTCAGGGGTGATGGATCTGACACCGGTCATTCAAGGATCCAAGTGACGCTTACCTCGGCTTTAATTTTATTGTCTCCAAAGCAAAGGTGCTGTAAGTAGGCTGCAGCATTGGACTGGACGGAGGGAAACTGATGTTGCAACATCTGAATCACTTCAGGCAGCTCTGGGTCTCTCCATCCGAATTCTCTGAACAAAAGGAAGGTAGGAGAACGTGAGAGAGAAATCGTGCCATGCCGTCAACATGTACTCAATTCTTTTATGAAACGCACTGAAGAATTCACACGGGCACATTTCACAAACGCTTGTTCTGGTTTTCTGACATGTACCCATCAGAAGAGCATTTGAAAACATTCCTTTGAGTAAATGGTTGGTAAGTATATACATGCATACACACACATATATACACGTAGACCCATATAACCTCAAACGTGTTAACAAGTTATTTGTTTATGAAGATAATGGAAAAAATGACTTAAAATGGCACCTGATTTTATTAATATATACATTTTTCATTCAGGCTTAAAAGGTCACATTTTCCAATATATTGTCTCAACAGTGTGATTTAGGTACTGTATTTTGCCAAATTACCAGACAAGAGGAAAATGTAACTGAATGGGTTTAATCCAAAAGATCATAATAGCAAGTGATGTCATCATCTCATTATTTTTTTATGGTTATTATTATTATCGTAATCTCTTTAAAAATAGGCAGAGTCCTTAAATGATTCACTGGGGATCAAAGTATAACAAGGCAACTTTATAAAAGGAAATTATTTAAAGCGTTAAGATTATTCATGCAATGTTAATAAATGTATGCCGCTGTATATTATTTTCCTGTACTCTCTCTTTCCCATTGGAGCTACTCCAAGAAGCTGGTTGTTTGTTTATGTTTAAGAAATATGCTCTAAAATATTTAAATCCATTCTAAAACATAAGGTTGATTGTGTACTATTATGCGAATAAACATCCTTTTATGAAGTCGATCAGCTCAACCAGTTACGATATGGAGCTAAAAGGGCCAATCTTATGGATCGTATTCCTGTAGAAGGAAGCCAATTTTTAACAGAGAAATAAAAAAGCAACCTCCGAGACCACAGATAAAAACTTGACCCCATGAGCCACAAAAGCCTACTATTTATCTGAAGGATGAGGAAGAGAAATGAGAGGGCTTTGCCACGGCCACTCTGCTCCTGCAGAAACAACTCAGAAGCATACATCCTACTGATGTCAGCACAGGGCTGTCATTTGGGAAGAAGAATCGTGACAGAAACAGGAGAGAGAAGGGAACAGACAAAGGTGAGACGTTTCCTCACAGACCCTAACCTGGCCTCTTCCTCTCTCTGCCATCACAGCTGGTAGCGGTTGTCAAGCAAACCTTGGCACACGTTGCTGCTTCCCCTAGAGCGACCGAAGACGATTTGAAGTGGGATCCCTTTTGCATGAGGTTGTTAAGCAAACCTCTACCAGGTTTGGCACACGTTGCTGCTTCCCCTACAGCAACCGAAGACGATTTGAAGTGGGATCCCTTTTGCATTGGCTTAGTTTTTATTGGAAAGATAAAGCGTTCAATTTACTACTATGCATCTAGTATTTAATAAACTTACCTAAAATCTTAGGCAAATTTTCAGAAGGACGTATATAGTACGGGAACACATTTGCTGCAAAACATAATTTCAGTGATTGCTGATAATGGACAAACTATTGACTTTTTCTTGGTTATGTGATCCCAGCAGAAAACAATTATGGATTAAATCACAGGAAGTCTGTTTTCCTTCTTAATTTAATTTCCTTTTGTTGCTTGATTCTAAGCCACCTCTGCAACACTGAGACAGCACAGTCCCTCTTCCTTTAATAGCGGCCTCCTAAACTTATGTTCTTCATACATATTAAATAAAATATCTTACTGAATACCTGTAAATTAAAATTAGAAGCGTCATATAAAGAAACAAGATGACTAAGGTGAATTCAGGTAAGCCTGTGCTCCTGGAAAATGGTGAGTAAGGAATACATTTCTGCCTGTTTTATTGCCCAGGTGGTAACTGTCCTATTAGGCTCATATGGCACGTGTCCAGAACACCTTTGGAACAAAAACTCTAGGCGGACAGTCTTAGGGACACTCAGCATATGTGCATGTGAATGTATGTGTGGCACGCGCACACACGCACACACACACACTCCAAAATCAGAACAGATGGACGCACCAAAGAATTAGAGAAGGGATCCAAGCTCGTCATTCATAGGTCAAAAGAAAGGCTGTTGTCAGCATCCTCTCAAAATCTCTGGAATTCTGAATGTCCCCTCCATGCCCACTACTGCCCTTCCAGACCTAGTTGCTGACCTTTCACCCTGCCAACCGTGCCGGCCACCGCCCACCTCACCATTCTTCCTACCTAAGTCATCCAAATGGGCAAACACGCACAACGAATTGTGCCACTCTCTTGCTTAAAACATTTCAGTGTTTCTCACTGTTCTTGGGATAAAGACCAGGACAGTCCCATAGCCTGCAAGGCCCCGCTGACCTGCCATCCCCTCCCTCACCAGCCTCATGTCACACCGCCTCCCCCCGGCTCTCTGGGAAGCCGCACTGGCGTTTGGGCAGGCAAGCAGTCTCTCCCGACGCTGTTCCTGCTGTCTTGACCGGTCCTGGCCCGGCAGCCTCTCAAACTCAGGGCCTTGGGTTGTCTGAGACTTTCCCAGCAAATCCTTCCCCGACTGCCACCCACGCAGCAGCGAGTCGGTGATGTCCCCATTATGCTGTGGCCCATGACAGGTCACCACCTCTCTCTCCACTCCCATAAGTTCAGTGAGGCCGGTGCCATGACTTTTGGGTCATCTTTGTTACCTAGTATACATAATACTCTTGGTACATAATGGATTCTGAAAGAGTAAAGGCGTGAAGGAGTGAATGAAGAGAGGATCTTGGAGGGAAAAGTGTTTCCTCAGTGTTACTGGTAACCGTGAGAAAAGCAACGGGCATGGCTGTCATCGATTAGTCATTCCTAAAATATCCCCTCCCCGACACACACACACGGAGTCATACTCCAGGCTGTCAACTTGAGGTCTTTTCTATGCACCAATCAGATAACTGTGTGGATCAAATCCTGCAGTGGCGTCCGCTGCACTCAGGCAGATGTCTAAGTCCTCGGTCTGCTCGTGGGCCCCGCACACTGAGTCTCACCTGCTTCTGAAAGCACGTACTCCCAAACCACGCCGAGCCTCCTGAGCTGACCTCCCTGACCTGCCTCCTTCCTGTCCCCCCTCAAGATCTTGGTACTTCTGGGGAGCCTCGACCCTCAGGTGCTGTCTTGTCTTCATTAGGCCTTAGTTCAAATGCGTCTGAGGGGTCTCCTGTAGCTTCCGGCCAAAGACACCCGTCTCCTATTTTATCCACAATTCTCAGGACTAGCTGAAAGTCTCTTCTGTTGTTTCCATCATTACTATTTATTGTTACTACCCCCGCACCACACACACACACCTGTATGCTGCATGGGGCAGGGGCGTTCCCCACAGCACGAGAGAATGATGCTTGGTGCCACACCGCGTCCCCATCCTCACTGGGTGCAGTGAAACCCGAGGAGGGTGGGCGGCTGGGGCCAGGCGGGGGGAACTGCTCTGGGACAAAGTAAAAGAGGGTGAGAGGGACCAGAAGACCAGACGCGACAGAAGACAAAAGTAACTTAGTGTTTAACACGACTCAGCGGTCCCCTAGCCTAAGCCGGCTGTCCAGGATGGGGCTGGCGTGGGTTGCACGTCCAGGCAGTTCGCTTCCGCCTCATCTGAATGGCCATTCCCCCGGGACTCGGCCAGGTGGCAGCTGCCCTCTGAGGGCAGATCATGAGGCGCTCACCATGCTTTCAGATGCTCCCCTCAAGTTCCCAGGGTCGATAACAAAGGAGCATCCCTCGGCAGAAAGTTTGGAGGAGTGTTCCTATCCAGGTCTCTTTCTCTAGGACAGTTTTGTTTCACTCGGATGGGATTCTGTTTGTTTTTTTTCTCGCTGCCCAGAGAGATAGACTCGACAGAAAGAGCTGGAAGACTACGGGCAATAAAATGTCCATCTCCTTCGGGCCAGAAGTCGGTCTACGGTTTGGTTTCTTCACATCGGATCTTCATCCTTAAGGGCAAGGAGTGGCTTCTAAGACAAGATGTTCTGGAAAAGACAAATGCCGGTGAGGAACCAGCGTGTGGGTAAGGGGCTCTCGGAGGGCCTGGCCACCTGGGAACGGGGTGAAGCCGGCTTGGTTCGGGTGAGTCTGTGAAACAGGACGTTACGGGAGGAAGGCTGCCGGGGAAGGCGCCAGTGGGGATGGGGCTGGGAAGCAAGTTTGGGATGAGATCGCGAAGGGACTTTGGTTCAGCTACAAAAAGTCTTAGCCTGGTATGTGCTCAGTATTGCACAAAAGAAATCTATAGGAATTTAGATGTGTTTAGGCTTACCCAACAGGCAGAAAAATAAACCTCGGTAACAGCAAACGTACACCAAAAGTCGTTCATGTGTTTCTACTCTTTAATTCTAACAAGCCTTGTGCAGTTTACTTTCATGTTACAGAGGAGGAAACTAGACTTAAGATGTTCACGAATGTAAGTGGGGAAGCTGAAACGGACTGTCTGCCTTTGAACAGATAAAACTAAACCATATAAATGTGCTGCCTGCTAGAATCATTGTCTGGAAATGTCTAACACAGTGATTTTTTTGGACAATGTTTGACAAATAAATATATTTAAAACAGTGTGCCTGGGGACGTTTTAGATTGTCACGAGTGGAAGATGCTATTGGCCTCCAGTGAGTAGAGGCCAGGGACGCTGCTCAACATCTCATAATGCACGGGACAATTCCCCACTGCGAAGAGTTATTTGTCTCCAAAATGTCATTAAAGCCAAGGTACAGAAACCCTAGTGTCAACCTGCAGTGTGTCTGATCACTTTCGTTGAGCAGGCGTGTTATAAATCTTTAACTCTTTGATTACTGTATTGGAAGGGGGCACGGGGTTTAGCATCACAGGAACTGGGAGAGAGTTCACAACTTGAAGAGCTGGCTTTCTCCCTTCTAGCCAATAAATACAGGGCAGTCCCTTGGCGTTTGCTGGTCTTGGCTTCCGTGGATCAAATACAGAGAATAATGCCACTCATTTCATGGGATTCGTTTTTAAATGACACCATAAAGTGATATATGTGAAAGTCTTTGGT